AAGTAAAGTGCTGCTAGTAGGGGGCAGCAGCTGGTTTTGTTCTAAGCAGGAAATAAAGGCAAACCAGGGAAGGAGTTGTGACACTGCTCACTCTTTGAAAGCAGTATAAATTGAACCACAAAAGTCTCTTATAGTGGAATAAAAGTGTCTGCACCGGGATTTAAAGTGGCACAACTGTGCCCATGTTGACAACCCCTCAGAGTCACAGAGCTACATGTTCAGTTTAGACCCCATGAGATGTGCTCCAACTGTATCTTACTCTTCATGAAGTCCCATTGAAATCAGTGAAAATGCCTGTGAAATAGTGCACTTTTTTTGGTAAGCAGACCAGCATCTGGCCTCCGATAGTTTAGCAAAATGTGGAGATGTCCTGCATTGTGAAGCCATGTCTACACTAGAAAACTATTTTGAAATAACTAAATTCGACTTAAGAACTCCCACTTTTACAAAATCATAATAGCATGTCCCCAATACGAGGAAGCCTCGAAATTAGTCCAAGGCAGGCTCCATTAATGTGGACACGCTACCTCGACTTACAGCCCCAGCAAGCACTGGGGAGTAATTAATTCAAATTACTCTTGGGTGTAGTTATTTTGAAATAGCAGCACTGGAACATTCACACTAATGCTATTTCAAAATAACCATTTTGAAGTTAGTGTTACTCCTCAAGAAAAGCAGGAGTACAGATTTCTAAATAAGCAGCCCCTTATTTCAAAATCTGCTAGTGCTTGGTAGTGTGGATGCTCCGCTTATAAATTCGACTTAAGGGGGGTTTATTTCAAAATAAAGCCGTAGAGTAGACCATGGCTCAGGTACCTGATGATCTAGTTCTTTGGAAATATTCAGAGCCAGGAGACCTACTGGAGAAAGACCTAAGGAGAGTTTGCCATCAGAGAAAACTTCAGTCACTAACCCTCTGAATCATTTCTTCTCTGAGTAGTTTCAATGTTGTTCCTTGTTTTTTATTTGCTTGCTTATTTCTCTCCTTAACTTTGAAAGTTTTTACATATAGTCTAAGCAGCCTTTTTGCCAAGATATATTCTGCCCACATTTTTAATGGGATAATCCCCTTTTCTGCAGTTTGGCCCTTCCGTCGCTAACAGTCCATTCCATCCCTTTCAGTCCTGCATACCTCTACCTCTTTCATTTCTAAATTGCAAATCCACCTAATCTCTTCTCATAATTTATGCTGCTAAACCCCTGAATTCTTTCAAGTACTCTGCTTTTTAAATCAGTTAGGCCTGATGCTGCACAACACAGGTTCGGGAATGGAAAACACAGGGACAAGCATTTCTTACTGAAAGCACTGCTGGTTCTGCTTACTAACAGGGGTGAGGACAGAAAGGGGACTTCGTAGGCAAATGCCTAATTCGCATATAGAGGGTCACACTTAACACCATGTAATTCTTCAAATATACTTGTTTTTACCACCCTCTGCCTCCACTGAGTGGGTTTTTTTTTCTTACATTTGAGTGTAAGTGAGAGAACACAAAGGGCTATGAGACATATTTTCACTAAGGGCCTCATCCAGAGCCCACTGAAATCAATGCGACTTTTCCATTGCCTTCAGAGCCTAGATCTCAGCACAGAGGCTTCTCCTTAGTCTGCATCAACACACTCAAGCTGAAGGTGCAGTTCCCACCACAGGTAAACATACGTGTGTTGGCTTTGATCATGCTAGTGCACTAAAAATAGCAGCATATCCATGGCAGCATAAGAACATAAGAATGGGCACACTGGGTCAGACCAAAGGTCCATCTAGCCCAGTGTCCTGTCTTCCGACAGTGGCCTATGCCAAGTGGTCCAGAGGGAATGAACAGAACAGATAATCATCAAGTGATCTCTCCCCTGTTGCCCAAACAGGAGACAAACAGAGGCTAGGGACACCATTCCTACCCATCCTAGCTAATAGTCATGGATGGACCTATCCTCCATGAATTGATCTAGCTCTTTTTTGAACTCTGTTATAGTCATGGACTTCACAACATCCTCTGACAAGGAGTTCCACAGGTTGATGGATGGACTAACTGTCCAAGTAAGTAACTAGGGACCTGGCAGGGATTGTACCAGGGCAACTAGTTCTTCTCCCCACCTGCACCACTACAGCTACACAGCTATTTTAACATGTTAGCTCAATCAAAGCTAGCAGATGTGTCAGTCCCTGAGCTGGAAATTACACCTTGAGCTTGAGTACTGATGCACCCCCTATTCTTAACTTCACTCTTCACCAACATTGCCTTGGCTCACATTCAAGTTGAAAAACCACAGCTTTAGCTTTGTGCTTTCTGCTGCATGCGCACCACTCAAGGACTGTCCAGATATGTGATGTGTGTTATTATTTAATGCACATTTGAAGCAATGCTGGAATGCTGTATGTGCTGGAGGACGGGCATTCTTTTTGACCCAGAATTGAGGTTTGGGTTTATTGTTATGGTGCTAAATGCATTTGCTGAACTGAGTGCCAGGGAGCAGTCAGTTACTCTGCAGTGGCTTTAGAGATGGGCTAGTTAGATTTTTCAGACCTTTTTATGGGGACTAGATTCACAGCTCTCAGTAATAATTATTGTGACAAACAGAAGCTGACACCTACTTATTTCAAAATAAATGTTATTCCTCATGAAAAACAGGAGTTGTTATTTCAAAATAACCAGCCCATTATTTCAAAATCACAGGCTTGGTAGTGGGCAGGCTGCACTTGTTATTTCAAAATAAGGGGAGTTATGTCAAAATAACTCCTTAGGCTATGTCTAGACTGCAGGCTTCTTTCGAAAGAGGCTCTTTCGAAAGCATCTCTCGAAAGAGCCTCTTTCGAAAGATTGCGTCTAGACTGCAGGCGGATCTTTCGAAAGAGCAATCCGCTTTTTCGAAAGAGAGCACCCAGCGAGTCTGGATGCTCTCTTTCGAGGAAGCCCTATTTACATTGAAGAACGCCTTCTTTCGAAAGAGGAACTTTCGAAAGAAGGCGTTCTTCCTCGTGAAACGAGGTTTACCGCCATCGAAAGAAAAGCCGCGTTCTTTCAAAATAATTTCGAAAGAACGCGGCTTGAGTCTGGACGCAGGGGAAGTTTTTTCGGGAAAAGGCTACTTTTCCCGAAAAAACCCCTGAGTCTGGACACAGCCCTAGTGTAGACCAGGCCATAGTTATCCCAAGAGGAAAATACAGCGCCTTTTGTGCCTGCTACAACTGCTGCTTCATGGCAAAAGGACAAACAGTGGTAACAATTCCAGAAGGTATCAAAAGCCATACATTATTTATGGTTCAGATTAGGGGAAAGGATGAACAGATCAGGACAGAACATATTAGTGGCTTATATTTCTCTACTTCTCCTGGAGACTAAATCCAACCCAACTAAATCCATAGCCAGCACAATGTAGGAAGCTTTATCTGCATTCCGCCCACCCCCAAGAATGTCTTTCTTTCCCACCTTTGTCACTGCTGTGGTGTAATGAGCTCTTTGTGCCCTGCCATAAAGAAATCTTTTAGTCCTATTGTGTGTGGCATACGACACAATGGGCAGTTCTATTTAAATTGGCAGTTTCCAGTGATTTTAGTGTAAGAGTACAGGAAACAAGCAGTGTTCTACCAAAAAAACAAAAAAGCATTAAGAGCCCTAAATCCAGAGTCCTGTGACCAAACACTTGAGGATGCCTCTGCCTCACCTGCATGTTCTCCTGATGTTGTCCATTCCTCCTGCATATGTTATCACCGTCCTCCAGCTGATCTAAATTGTGCTTTGCTGCCAATGACCAAAAGGATCTGTTATGATAACAACAGATTGTTAGGGCTTGGGAAAGGCCTAGAATTGTTGGGACAGGTGGGCACAGCACCTGCTAAATCAGCACTCCATCACAGGATGCTCCCCCTACTCGAATCTAGGGTTCTCCTGTGGCTGGCTACACCAGTTTTGAATCATTTTGTACTGGTGGTTTGAATCATAAAGCATGGCCAAAGATCAGGGCCTCTGTCTTCAGTTCAATTTGTGCAATCCAATTAAAATTGCTATGGGTACGTCTAGACTACACGCTTCTTTCGAAAGAAGCTTTTTCTGAAGAATCTTTTGAAAAAGCTTATTTTGAAAGAGATGTCTACACAGCCATAACTTTTTCAAAAAAGCAATCCGCAATCTGGATGCTCTCTTTTGAAAAAGCCCTCTTTGCAGTCAAGAATGCCTTTTTTCGAAAGAACTCTTTCGAAAAAAGGCATACTTCCTCGTTAAATGAGGTTTACCGCTGTCAAAAAAACTGCTGCGTTCTTTCAATTTAATTTCAAAAGAATGTGGCGGCAATCTAGACAGGTGAAATTTTTTCAACAAAAGGCCACTTTTTTCGAAAAAAACAACAACCCTGTAGTCTGGACATAGCCTGTATGACTAAATGAAGTCAGAATTTGGCCTTGTATGTATATGGATATTAGAGTGATACAATAATATATAGAAGTCAAAGGCAAGAGACCCATAAAACAAGAATAAAAGTATGTTAATCATATCTATCTTAAGCTCAAGAGGAAATAAAGCTTTATATACAGAGAGTGTACAGCTGAAATAGCAAATTTGCTGTATTTTTGGCAGGCATTCATAATCAGTATAAACATGCAGTGCTCCTCACAAGCCAGTTGGTTTTGCTGTTTTGCTGCCTCCACTTCCATTTACATTTATTCTGAGAGATGTTTAGTCTGTTCCCTCTGTGCAGGGATAGGACACTCAAACTATGCCTCACCTTTCTATATGTATTGTTATGCACATGCTTGAAGCAGGAAAACAGTATTCTAGTGTTGGGCTACCCTGCGGAATACCCTATAGTACAGCAGTTTTATTGACTGAATGTTTGTCCCATGACTAAGGTACCATGCACAGTGTGGAGCTCAGGCCAATATTTCATGATCAGCACCACAAAACAAAATCCGATCACTTATTCAGATGTCTAATTATGGATTTATGGGCCTAATTTTAGGCACTCAGACTTCCTATCAAGAACAATGTCTTTTTTCCCCTTCTTTTCAGTGACCTGGCTAGTGCTGAGTGAAATTTTCCCTGCTGGGATCAGAGGACGGGCCATAGCTTTAACCTCTAGCATGAACTGGGGTATAAATCTCCTAATATCCTTGACATTTTTGACTATAACTGGTAAGAATTCTTTGTTTCTTCTTGAGCCTATTTTCCCATTACTGGGCTTTGTGATGCTTTTCAGGGTACATGTCCAGCATTGTATGTCACCCTGTTAGCTCTGACCCTCATCATAAAAAGAAACTGTTGGTTACATTATACCTCATGACACAGAACTAGTCAGAGCTCACTTGGTTGTGTAGCGTAAAAAAAGGCAAGAAGTAAAATAATCTTCCATCCTTTGCCACCCAGTGCCCATTACACCGATATTGGAACCAACTTTTGGATATTTTTAAATGACCACTAGTGAGCAGCCGGTTTAAAACAAACAAAAGGAAGTACTTCTTCCTGCAATGCACAGCCTGTGGAACTCCTTGCCTGAGGAAGTTGTGAAGGCCAAGGACACGTCTAGACTCGCTTTCACTTTCGAAAGAAGATATGCAAATTACCATCAAATTTGCATATCTTCTTTCGAAAGTGAAAGTAAGTCTAGATGTACCCAAACTGAGTGACAACTCCTAGCCACGCCGGTTGGTTATGTAGCACTGACAGGCAGAACCAAACCTGGGATCTCTTGAGCTTAGTGCATGAGCCTTTACAGCTTGAGCTAGAAGCTGGCATTCCAATTAGCCAGCCCCATAGATTCCTGAGGATTCTGCCAGGCCTAACTTTGCCTTGGTGAACTTCAATTCATGAATACTCCAGAAGCATCTCTCTGTAGCATCTAGACTATCACTAGATGCTATATAAAGATGAGATGATACACTGAAAATGGTTACAAATTAAAATAAAAGTGTTATCACACTTTCTGGAGAGAAACTTACCATGTTTTAACGAATATAATCCATAGGTTATATTCATTTTTACAATCCCCCCCCCCCGAAGGGGTATACTCAGGTGTGGGGTATACAGAGATTTTTTTAATTCATCAGGTGGTGAGCTCTCCATTGCCTCTTCCTGTGGCTGCACAGCTGCCAGCCTTCACGGCGGGGAG